GATGGCTCGCCCCAAGCCGAGGGCAGCCCGCTCCGGGCAGAGGGCCGTGAGGGCTCACCCCGAGCTGGGGGCTGAGGGCAGCCCAGCCCGAGCAGGGCAACACCCCCCAGGAGCTGGCTGGTATACTCCCCCTCTAATTGCCCCTACCCCAGTCTGGTCCCCTCGCCTGACTGAGGACTCTGTGGTCAGGGGTAGTGTTTCCAATTCCAGTACTGCAACTTTTATCCCCTCCCCATAAGTGGTCATACTATATTTTGAAGTAGGTGTCACTGCCCTCCCCCTTTATATATGATAAAGGGAACCTGAGAATTGTGAATAGACTCCCCCCAGGTCTAACCATCTTTTGGCAGAAGCATTCAACAGAACAAAATATGTGGTGCATTTAGAATGTCAGTCCTCTTGAGCATGCTGCCACTGTTAAGGTCATCAGCCTCACAGTGACTTTCAGAAATCCATTGCATCGGTAATCGTCTTCTTTGGCCTGTCCAATGCATAGATAATCGTCTTCTTTGGCCTGTCCAAGGAAACCCAAACCTGCATGCATCCCATCCCCCACCTCCTACGCAGGTGACCAGCAGGACGCACGCCCCCGCCGCCAGCATGGGCAGCCGTTGGGGGCACATCCCCCACCCTGCCGCACGGACGCTCGGCGTGCGCGCGGCCCCCTTTTGCAGGTGGCCAGTGGGCTCCCGCTTCCCCCACAGCTGCCATCCTGGCTCCAAGGATTCTCTCCAGAACAAGTCCACCTTGTGGCAGTGTGGTGGCTTCACTGTACCAGTCTTGAGGAGGGCCGGTGCTCAGCATCCATCCTGGGTGAGGGAATCCATTGGTTCCGGCTGTGGAAGCCTCATGGAGCTGCAGCAGCTGTGCGGCGTGGCGTGGGCTCTTCAGGGGGTGTTGGGAGCCAGGAGACTCATCCATTTCTCCGTGGGAATCCTTGAATTCCTGTTGTTGAGCCTCGATCTTCACTGAGGTCCAGTAATCAACTGTTTAAGTGTTCAATTATCAATAAGCCGAAGTCTGTGGAAGGCCATAATGGCCCTGCTTTAAGTGGTTTGCCTCTGCCACCATCTTGGATCTCCCTATTTACAACTTTTTGAGAAAGCACCATACCACCTTCCACAATGGCTGCACCATTTTATACTTCCACCAACAGTGAATAAGGTTTCCAGTTTCTACACCACCTCGCCAGCATTTGTTGCTTGCTGTTCTGTTACGTTTTGCTATTCTGACTGGGGTGAGATGATATCTCATAGTTATTTTTATCTACATCTCTCTTAGAACTAGGGATTTTGAACATTTCTTCATGTGCTTGTTGGCCATGTCTTCTTCGGTGAAGTGTCTGTTCATATCCTGTGCTCATTTTTCAACTGGATTATTTACTTTTATCTTGTTGTGGTGCTCAAATATTTTATAAATTCTATATATAAGTCCCTTATCTGACATGTCATTACCAAATACTTTTTCCCAGTCTGTGGCTTCCCTTTTTTTACCCTGTTGGAGAAGTTTTTGGATGTGCATAGGGATTTGATTCTTAGAAGGTCCCATTCATCTATTTTATCTTCCCTGGTTGTAGATTTTTCAGGATACTTGGAAGACTGTTTATGTTGTGGATTAACTTTGAGAGTTCTTTCAAGCTATTTTTTAATGAAGTTTATAGTCCTTGATTTTAGTCCTAGGTCCCTGACCCATGTTGAGTTGGTTTTTGTATATGGAGTGAGATGTGGATCTTGCTTGAGTCTTCTGCAGATATTTTTCCAATTTTGCCAACACCAAGGCTGTCATTTCCCCACCTGATTTCATCTCCTTGTCAAAAATCAGTTGATTATAGGTAGATGGGCTGATTTCCTGGTTCTCAATTTTATTCCATTGATCTATGTGTCTGTCATTGTACCAGTAGGATTGAACAATTTTTGGAGCCAAGCATCTGCTGGATTTCCTGTTCCTCTTTTGTTTTTGTTGCGTGCTCTATTACTTCTTCCCTTCATGCCCTCTCTGACGTGGTGGCGGTATTATTGGACTACAATGTCCACACACAAGACATGCCATTCCTTTCATCTGCTAATGGCCAATTGAGGGAACTCTTGTGGGCTACAGTAAGGATTGCAGTAGTGCAATCCCAAAGTCACACGGTTCATATCTACCAACTGCTCTGCAGGAGAAGGACAGGCATTATCTTCCTGCATGATTCACTCACTGACTTTGAAAGCCTGTTGGAGGGTCAGCTATGGGTCAGTTTCGATTTGATGGTACAGAATAATGGTCAAGTTAAGGAGGCCTAGAGGAGAAGTTTATTCAATGTGAGACTACAACGTGAAAGGTCAGTGGTTTGAATACACAAACTGTTCCACAGAAGAAATCAGATCATCTCCTCCATGTGTTTACAACATGAGAGACCCAGAAGAGGCCTTCCAAGAGGCACTGACTTGATAGCAGTCGGTTTTGAGTTTTCCCCTAAATGGTCAAGTGGGGCAGACTATCTAAGTACTCTAATATATTGAGTAGATTTTTCAGGACCCACTCTCAAATATTATAAAGCCAACTCTCCATTTCCTTGGAACAATCACTATATACTGGACACTGCTAATGTACCCTGTAGAATGGGCCTGTAGAGATGAAGAAAGAAGACATAACACTATGGCCTACTGCAGTTCTATCCGGAGGGCAGTGTGGTCCAAAGGCAGACCAGCCATCAGCTCCTGAGATGGGCAAGACCAACCCCACATAGCAGGACTAAGCAACTCTACAGAGCTCATGCTGAGCTGGCTGAAGCCTGTTTAGGCCTCACCCACAGCTCTCCCTCTGTGCAGTCCTGTTCCTTCACTGAAGTTACTGACCTCAACACGCTCTGTCTCAGGGTTTGCTGGTGAAGAACTCACTAGGTAACAATGTGTAGTATCAAAGCCCTCAACATCTGGCTCTGAATTCCTTCTTCAGCTCAAGCTGATCCCTGGAAGGTAGCAAACCCGAGAAACCTTTCTTGGCTTTCTGCCAACACAGAGTGCTATAGAGGGGCTTCATCATCAGCCCCCTTCCCTATAAATAGCAGGATGGCAGTTATTCCTCAGATTCTGCCAATTCTTGCTTGGTCTTCGTAACAGAGTAGGGAAAGGCAGCAACTCCCCATCAGCTGTTCGTCCACCAGAATCTTGGCATTCCTTTGCTTTATTTATATGTTTCAGACTGTTCTCTTTCCTTGTCACCTTTCTGGGAGGGGGCCAGCTATCTTTATTTTTTTTTTTAATAAAAAAACCAAAACACCAATAATAACAACCCACCTAATTGCAACTAATTTCTGATGAAAGGGAGTCTTAGTCCAGATGTAATTTTGTGCCATGTGTGTGTATGTGTTATTTCTAAAAGAAAACCAGTAACAATTTAGTTAGGAATTTTACATTTTTTCTTAACCACTAAAAGCCTTGTGGGAATGAATCAGGTGGTTTATTAAAGAGTTCTACAGATTTTACCATGCCTAGAAATGTATCCTAAAACACAATTCTCCAGAAGTAAAACACTATGCCTGAGATACTGTCTATGGGACGACCTGTAAGGAAAACCCTGAAGCCACACCAGGGTTCAGCAGGGGAACACACAGCAGCGAACACGGAATCATCGGTCAGCATCACAGAAATCATGAAGCATATGGAAGCGTCTTCATGAAGGCACTTAAAGACTTTCACACTCATCCATGCTTCCAGCTCGCAGGTGCCCTAGCCCTCTGTCTGGTCTAGGCTTTACTGAGGCTTGCAGACCCCAGTTGGGCAGTCAAAGATGTGCTATTCACAGAAGCCTGATGTGCAGCAGTGTAGCGGGCAGACACCGTTACACAGAACCAATGAAGAGACAGAGACAAGCCACAACAGTAACTCTTGGTTTTTGCTGGGTTGCTAGAACGAGAATGATCTTATTTTCCAAGTACCAAGGAAACCCCCTAAACAAACCTGCATCCAAGTGAGTACAATAAATGTATGCATATATGTACAGATTGCCACTTGACTTTTTCTACAAAATGTATGTACCTAGAGAAGCTCTGTTGGAGCAGTGGCTAAGGCATGTAGCTGCTGACCAAAAGGTTGGTGGTTGTAACCCACCAGCAGCTTTGAAGGCAAAGATGTGGCAGGGAGTTGCTGTTAAGATTCACAACCTCTGAAATCGGAAGGGACAGTTCTACTCTGTCACGCAGGGTCATTACGAATCAGAATCCACTAGATGCCTATGATGGGCTGAAGCATGCCCCCACTGCCAGGATCAGTTGTAAATCCTAGCCCTTGTAGCACCGTGGTTTAAAGCACTATGCTGATAATGGAAAAGCTAGAGTTCAAACCCATCAAATGCTCTTTGGGAAAAAAAGAATTTGCTCCCATAAGAGTAAAAATCAGTGTCATCAAGGTAATTCTCACAGCAGCCCTGTAGGCAGAGCAGAGCCCAGCCCCGGGCTTCCAAGCTGTAAATCTTTATTGATGCAGACTGTCTCAATCTTCTCTAGTACAGTGACTGGTAGGACTGAACTTCTGGACTTTTGGGTTTTGGCCAAATACCTCAACCACATTTTTCTTGTAAAGATTCACTTACTGCTGCCATGTTGGAGCAGACTTACAACAGACCTGACAACAAGTTTTCTTCTTTTTTTTTAACTTTTTAAAAAAAAAATTATTATTTTTTTAAAAAAATTCTTTTACTATTTTTGTGTGTGTGTACCATCAAATTGGATGTGACTGGTACAGGAGGAGATTGCCCCTCCTTCTCCAGCAGAGGATCTGGTGGATTCGAACCGCATACCTCAAGGATTACAGTGCAACTTCTTGCCACTAGGCCACCAGAGCTCCCTCAAATTTTATTATTTTTTGTGTGTGTGTGTACCATCAGATGACTGGTATAGGAGGAGATTGTCTGTCCTTCTCCAGAAGAGCATCTGGTGGATTTGAACTGTTCTCCTCTAGGATTGCAGTACAGCTTCTTGCCAACAGGCCGCCAGAGCTCCCTTACAGTGGGTTTTCACAGACTGTAAATCACACTGAAGGAGACTGTCCATCCATCTCCTACACAGCTGCTGGCGGACTTGAACCAGCCACCTCTACGTTAGCAGCACCATTCCCCAAAGATGCTGCCACCGGAGCTCCTGTAACAATTACAGCCTAGGAGAGGCCGTGGAACAGCTCTACAGTGTCATACCAAGCTGCCTGGAACCCTTAGAGGAGCCTGGTGGCACCATGACTACAGCACCTGGCTGCTGAGATGCTGGCAGTTTGAGGGAGAAGACTAGGGCAGTCTGCTTCTGTGGAGACATGGGCTTGTAAACTATGGGGCCGGTCTCCTTGGTCCTACAGGTTCACCATGAGCAGGAACCAATGCAGGAGGAATGGCTTCTAGCTTCTATTTATACATGCACTGGATACAAATGGGCAAAACATGTATGAAACCAAAGCAGGTCCACTGGTAGGATTATAAATATCTTTGCTGTAGGAATGTAAGCATCTTTGCTCACTCTTTCAGTTAGCTACGATTGTTAGTAGTTTTATCAATGAAGCAAATTTTATACTACGTCAATGACATTATTGAGCTCTAGTGGCCTAGTAAGTAAGGAGCAATGTTGTCAACTCAAAGGCCTGGAGTTCAGATCCACCAGCTGCTCCACAGGAGAAAGATGAGCAATCTCCTCCTGTGTGATTTACTGCCTCTGAACACCTTCTGGAGGGTCAGCTATGGGTTGGCTGTGACTCAACATCAAACAAGATGTCAATGACAGCTTAAGTGGCCTTAACCCAGGGTCCGAGGTGCTCTCTGGCTTCTCAGCTCACAAGAGCTATGAAGCGCTCAGTATTGACCATGCACCAACCCCAATATGGAGCAGCAATTGAAGGATGTGTACCTTCCCCCAATTCTCTGTGGATGGATGTGGCAAACATGCTAGACACCCTGGCCAGGCCCACCCAGTACTCCCTCGTGGCACCTTCATCTGGTGGGCCCTGGAGCTGCTGCTGGTGACACAGGGAGTGGAAGGTGTCCTCTTCCTGCCAGATGATGCGGTGCAGGATGATCCAGGGCAGCACTGACGACACATGTGGTTCCTTGGCCTCCTCCTGCACGGCCATACTGCAGTCTATGACCTGGGCAGGAAGGGGAATGGGATAACGGCCGGTCATGTACATAGGCACCTCCTGGCTTCCAGATGCAAGGATTATAGAAATGAGTGGGCCCAGGGAAGATGACTTGAAAGCTCAGGATGGTTATAGCTACTATGATCAAGGCAAACTGGCCAGCGTGGTTTCAGAGGAGGGCGGGGCAAACAGAGCCCACCTCTGGAAAGAATCCTTCCATGTCAGGGCGTCTGCAGATTATCAGTGAAAGAGAGCAGGAACAGAGGCAGCACAGCCAACCCCTTGCTCAGGAGGTGGAGGATGAGGGCAAGGAAGGCTGGGTGCGCCTCTGAGCCCACTTGTTTACACTGCTGGGGACACACAGCGTGGAGATGGAGAGCTCTATGTAGTGCTGAGCATGCGCTGGAAAGGTGCCTCTGTGGGGGCTGGGCAGGAGTAGCAGCGGGGTACTGAGACAGGACTAAGTAAGAGGGGGCAGTGGCTGCCAAGTGAAGGAGATGGAAATAGAGAGCTGCCTGAAGCTGCTGCAGGTGGGAGGAGGTGGTGTGGCAGACTGCTGTAGCTGAGTAGGAGCTGGGGCGATGGAGGGGGTCCAGGCATGCTCTCTGCACAAGCCTGGTGGGGCACCATGGGGCCTGCTGGGCTCTGCGGGCCGCTATGTGGTTCTGTGAGGCACTGTGGGGCCCTATTGGGTTTTGTCTGGATTCTATTGGGTTCTGTCTGGGCAATGTGGGACCCCTTGCTCACCCTCAGCAGAAAAGGCCATCCTTATAAACACAGCCATGCAAGCTAGGACAACACAATGGAAGCCAGCTTCCTAGGCTTGCCACACCAAAGGCAAGGCCTCTCTACTCTTGGCCGTTTCTACTCAGTAGCCAGAGGTCTTATATCTTGTGGCAGGGTTATGGATTGAGTTGAGGTCCCCAAATAGGTACTGCAAATCTTAACCCCTGACCCAAGAGAGGAGCCCAGAGATGTCCCATGAAAGTTCTCAGCTGCTAACCTAGAGACTGACAGTTTGAGCCCAGCTCGAGGCTGTGCAGGAGAAATGGCCATGTGCTCCCCTTAACATTACAGACAGTGACAGCCTAGAAACTCAAGGACAGATTCCCTGTGTCACATGGGGTCCCTACAGAACAAAAATTATTCCAGGGCTACAACATGCCTAGGGGTATGATCCCACCTGGGATGTTCTCCTGGTTACATTAGTGAGACTGTTAACAGAACAGGGTATGTTTTCAACCTTCTCAATTCCTGAGTGAGGAGGTGGTGGATAGGCTGAGAAGCAGGTGGGTCACCTGGATGAGGTTGCTGGTAAGCCTGACCAGGCCACTGGTGGAGGAGGACTCCCTCAGGATGTTGCCGCTGCCATCCGCGGACAGTGCCTGCTCGATGCCCAGCAGCAGCTGTGTGACTGTGGCCACCCACTCCTCTTTGGCTGCAGTGTCGCTGGCATTGACCATCTGCTGGACGGCCTCATTCAAGGCAATGTCGGAGCATTCAAAGCATTGCCGATGGTCCTGCAGCCGGAGCAGTGAGTCCTGAGAGGAATGAGAGTGAGGGGCTGGAAGGCACCAGCAGGCAGGTCCTGGCGGGCTGGGGGAATGAGGGACCAGGGACACAGCAACAGGAGTGAGGGGCTGGCTATGAGGTACCAGCACATAGGTCCTGGAGGGCGGTGAATGAGGGACCAGAGACACTGGGGGAAAGTGAAAGGGTTGTGAGGCACCAGCAGGTGCATCTCGGAGGGCTAGGGGAGTGAGAGCCGCGGCACACTCCTGAAGGTGCCTTTTCAGTGCAGGTATGGGCTCCATACAGCCCACAGGTCTCTGTGGGCACGTGGGGGCTGGAGTTGGGGTGTGGTCACAGTAGAGCGGGTCTTCTCCTAGGGCCTTCACATAGGGATGCACTCTTCATCTCAGCTCCCATTTACAAAGCTGGGACACTGGGAAGAGGCCCCAGGACTGCCACCAGCCACAAGAAAAGGGGGAGCCTCATAGCGGTCAGCTCTCCCCAAGCAGTGGGCCGCAGGCCAGGACCTCCACTTCCTCCCCACTTAGCCACCTCCCAGCAACTGGATCTGGAAAGTGACTAGAGCAGAGGCCAGAGCCAGAGTAGCTGTCACAGGAGAAGGGAGGTGGCCTGAGCCAAGGTCAAGGGTCAGGCAATGCCTGAGTAACACAGTAGCCTGTGGGAGGTAAGGGCAGTTCACAGAGCAATGTGATGCACAACAATGGCTGGGGTGCTTCCAGAAGAGAGCTTGAGACCAATAAATTACTGAAGAGCCATGATGTCAGTTTATAGACTAAAGTATGCCTGATTCAGGCCATGTTTTTTTGCATCAATTGCTTTGCATCTGAGAACTGGACAATGAATAAGGATGACATGAAAAACTGATGCCATTGAGCTGTGGTGTTGGAGGAGAGCACTGAATATACCATAGACTCCCAAAACAAAGAGCAGGTATGTGTTGGACAAAGGGTAGTCAGAGTGTTTCTTATTAGATACAAAGATGATAAAGCTTCATCTCTCATACTTTAGGCATGTTGCTAGGGAAGGCTATTCCTTGGAGAAGGTTATCATGCTTGGAAAGGTGGGGGGCTAGTGAAAAGAGAGGAAGACCTGTAATGGGCTTGAGTGTGTCAGAAAGTGTGAAGATGGCAAAGGATAGGGCTGGGTTCAGGTCTGCTGTTCACAGAGCTATTAAGTTGTACTCAACTCGATGGCACTCAACAACAAAAACACTAGGCCAACAATATTTCTAACCACACACGCTCTTTCAAATCTGCCACCAGGGTGGTAGGTCCTCCACAGATCTGTCCACTGCACAGAACCTTCCCACTGTGGAGCTTCCCACCACCTTGGGACTCCCCACCACGTGGGACCTCCCAACCACATGGGACCTCTCCACTATCAAGGTCCAAGGTTCTCAGCAGAGTGCTGGACCCTCCTGGCACCTGCCAACAGGAACCATCTCACTGTCTCAGGACTATCCCACTAGTAGGTCCTGGTGCAGGCACTGCCAGACTAGGTTTCTTGACCTTGCCCTCTCCCACTTACTTCACCTCCTGGTCTGGGGTGAGGCCCCGAGGGTGCAGCATTACAACAAATCAAGAACAGATCACACTGCAACTCCAAAGTAATGGGCTCTCACTCCAACTCAGTCCTCATGAGTGCCTTTCTGAGCCTAGAGTGACAATGGGGGGTGTCAAGCATTATTATCCAAATGGCTTTCCTAGCCATTTGACTTTGCCACATGGAATGGGGTGGTGGTGATGAATCATACAAATAGGGTGTGTTAAGTCTATCTACAAAGATATTGGCTAGTCTCACCATTAAATCGAGCAGAGTCATAATTTGGGAATCTCACCACCAATAAGGAAACAGCAACACTGTGTCCTTTGGGGCCAGAGATTCTTGCACCTCTCAGATTGAGGCCTGCAGGAGCAAGAGCAACAGCTGCAGCAGAACTACAGACCCCTGATGTGAGACAGAGCTTACTTGGGACTGCTACCCCATGGAAGCAGAGCTAGAAACCTTCATCTAAGCTTGCTGGAGGACTGGCTGGGGAGATGCCATAACTGGCAAGGTTGAGAGAGCTCTGTAACACTGGCTTGAAAGGTTCCAGGCTGAAGGGCCTACAAGCACATTTCAGAAGCTGCCCAGACTGAGAAATGTCTCCTGTTGTCAATTTGAATTACAGCCTGTTAATTTATCTAATAAACTCTATAATGGCATGTTTCTGTGAAGTTTGCATAGGTGCTGCAACATATATCAGACCTAGATGGGCAGTAGGATTGGTATTAGAAATCAGAAAAAGGAGGTTTGGGAGTGTGGGAAATTTCTGAGTGCAGAGGAACTGGTTTTGTGTTGTGGATGTGCTTCTGATGGGACAGTTGCCACTTGTGGAGTTATCATGGGACACACATGTCCACCCTCACTCTTCACAGAGATAGCAAGCAAGAGCATCCTTGAGTCATGATGACAGTTAAGCAGCAGGTGCAAGCCAGCCTCTGAACAGCATGATGAGTTCTCACAGGTGACTCTTAGTGACTAAGACCTGCAGCCACCTTGACACCTAGTATGTCACCTCCTAGTGCACACCCGAAGTTTGAAGACCATTCCTGGGCTGACATGGATCAAAACCCACACAAGGTAGGAACAGAGAACTCCTGTCTGCCAGGACACACTGCTGACCTTGCACTGCAACCAGAGTCGGCGACAAAAGTCAGCTCAGCCAACAGCCTTCTGATAGGACACACTTAGGCCAGAAAGAGCTAAAAAGCCCAAGAGTGAACGCCAACCAATGAGAAGATCAAATCATTACTGATGGCAGGCAACACGATCATGCACACTCACACCCAAGAGAGAAAGACAGCAATCAGAAATGCTGAGACTTCAGCACAACAAACAGCATCCCTATGAGCTGGTAACATACAGTCAGGAAATACAACCACCAACAATGCAGACTGACTCAAGCTTCCTGTTGTTGTTAGGTGGCCATCCAATGGACCGCTAGTCACAGCAACCCTATGCACAACAGACTGAAATCTTGTCTGATGATCCTGCACCATCCTCACAGTCTCTGGCACACTCAAATCCACCGATGCAGTCACTATGTCACTCCAGCTCCAGGAAGGTCATTCACTCCTTTGCTAACTCCCAACCTTCCCAAGCATGATATCCTTTTCCAAGGACCAGTACTTCCCAACAACTTAGGCTGGAAGCCTTGATGCCATCATCTGTGGCCCACTGCACTGATCACCAAAGAGGCCAAGTGCCTCCAGCAGTTCAGACCACCACCAGCGGCTCCAAGGGGAAGGATGGGCAGTTTCCTCATTGCAATTTACAGCCTTGGAAACCAAAAGGGAGGTTGTGAAGACTTGGAATTGAAGCAATGGCAGTGAGCCTTAGTTTTTTTGCACAGCCAACATAACAAGAAGCCCCGCACTGAGACATATAACAGAGGCTTTTCAAAAGTATGGCAAGACCACCACTGTAGTCCTTAATACTTCAAAAGACTCTGTTGCACTCTAGGTTAGCTAGGTGGAAAATCACCTGCAAACACAGGACATAGCCAGAGACAAAGACAGCTGCACCCCGGATCCACTAGAGGCTGCACCTGGCTCATCTGGCCTCAAGCTCACAGGTGCACTGGAGAGGCCAGTGAAGGCTCTCTGCAGGGGCCCCTTTGGGAAGACAGGAGCAGGGTAAGGACAGGAGCAGTCCTCAAGTCTGGGAAGGCTGTCTATATAGCACAAATGAGTAAAGATTAAAAGATGTGACAATATCGAAATGCACAACTTCTGTATGCTACCAAAAAGCAAGCTGAAAGTTAAGAGAAAACAACAAACCAGAGAAAATATTTGTAACATATGCAAAAAAATGGTTATCCTCTTTGATGTCTAAACAGTATTACAGATTGACAAGAAAGCCCTCCTTTCCTCAGGAGACTGCACAAAGCCAAGACTCATTTTTCACCAAGAAGTGTGTGTCCTTGGGCACGCGGCTGAGGCCATGATCTCAGATGGCACCCTCCCTGCCTAGCCACCAGATCCTCTTCCACCAGGTGGTGCCCACACACCTAGCACCTCTTCCCCTCAGTTGTTCAGGAGGCAGTGAGAGAGCCAGACACCATTCAGTGACCAGGCCCAGAAAGGAAGGGGCTAGTTCTTTTTCCTCCCCAACCCACTTAATGCTCTTCACCCCTGGGCACACCCCACTTATGACCCCCCCTGGGTATACCCGCTGTCTCATTACAGCCATGCAGGGTCACCCCAACCTGCCACGGGAATGGAGGTCCACAGCATGTCACACCCTGATCTTAGTTTGGTCCAGAACAAGCAGTTCTCGATCTCCTCTCTTCCATTCTTTCATTCCTCCCCTACCCTTTCCTTCATTATGGTGGTGAGAGTGACTGCTGGCACCCACAGGACACTTGCTACCTGCTCCATACAGAAGTCCTAAATTCCCATATCACGCCTCTGAGGTGAGAACAGTGATCATTCCTGTTTCATTGGTTAGGTGCCACTGAGTACGACCCATAGCGACCCTATGACCCCTATCCTATCCTGTGCCATCCTCATCATCTCTGATACACTCAGGACAGGACAGCAGTCACTGTGTCAATCTATCTGGTTGATGGTCTTCCTCTCCATCACTGACCCTCCATCTTTTCAAGCATGATAGCCCTTCTCCAAGGAATAGCCCCTCCTAACCACATGCTCCAAGATGAGGGACAAAGCTTTGCCACACTTTCCTCGAAGATGTGCCCTGGACCCAGCAGAGGGTTACTTCCTCATGGAAGGAAGTGGGGGGTGGAAGCTGGGGTTGCCTGGAGGGCACGGGAAGTTCCAAGCACAATGGTGTGCTATCTTCAATGAGGCAATCACACATGGGCATCTATCTTACCTTTATTTTTCATACTGTACAAGTATCTTATCTGTATTTATCTCAGAACTCACTGCTGCCGAGTTGGTTCCAGCTCATACCATCTTCATCAAATTGAAGGCTGTACACTGTGCTAAGAGGAGACTGCCTCCCTTATTCCTTGGAGCCACTGGTGGACCTGAGTCACCCAAGATGTGCAGCTCCCGGGTTACCAGCACAACTTGCTGCATACTAAACCTCCAGATCTCTTTACTTATAAGCTACTCAATAAGTAATTTTAAAATGGATTGATAAATAGACAAATTGGGATGGGAGTGTCAGAGACAGTGCGATTGGCACAGGACAGAGCGGAGTTTAGGGCTGTTGTACATAGGGTCGCTATGAGTCGCAGGCGACTCGATGGCACATAACAACAACACAACAGGTAGAAAGGTGGATAGATAGATGGATAGGTAAATGGACAGATGAAGATGCTGGGTGGACAGATGGACAAATGTGCAGCTGGGTTGGTAAATATGAGTAAATGAATGAAAAGGTAGATAACTGAGTAAGTGAATGGAAAAACAGGCAGACAGAAGGATGGATGGACAGGTATGAGACAAGTGGACAGATGAGAGCAGTCCCAGGACTAGCCTCCTTTCTCCTCAGGGTCACAGGTGAGTGCATACAACCCTAGAAGCTGCACTCCTGGGCTCTAATTGTCCTCCAATCTTAGTCACATCTTCCTGAGTGCTGAGTTAGTTTTTACTCTTCTTTATCAAAGTTCTGGTGGCCTAGTGGTAAGAAGTTCTGTTGCCAATCTAAAGGCAGGTGGTTTGAAATCCACCAGCTGCTCCACAGGAGAAGGATGGACAATCTCCTCCGATGCGATTAAATGCCTTCGAAAACCTGGTGGAGGGTCAGCTATGGGTCATTTCTAAATGGACAGCACACGACAACCATCAACACCTTTTGACAATGAGCCGAGGAAGGAGGGAGCAGAGGGCGAGGGTGTGCACCTGCAGCAGCAGCAGCTGGGCCGGCCTCTCGGGGATGGAGGTCATGAACTCCAGGTGCTTGGCCTGGTCGAAGCCACTGGCACAGAGCGTGGGGCGAAGAAGGCGCACGACAGCTTTGTAGTCACCAGCTTCATACAGACGCTGGATCTCCTCCAGGGACTGGCAGCGCTCCAGAGACTTTAGGTTCTTGTCGATCTAAGGAAGGCCCGGGGACAGTGACCGCAAGCACACACAAGCACGCATGACCCCACAGCCCTGGATCATCTGCACTAAAGCATCAGACCCAGCAAAATGGGCAGAGGCGGAAATCTCTCTCAGCTAGCAACACACACCATATTTTTGGTTTTCAGGTTGTGTTTTGTTTTTTAGTTAGTGTAAGTTTACAGAATGATTGGGTTTGCATTCATGGGTACACATTTTTTCCTCCCTCTATTCACTGTAACATAAATCCTGTTCCAGATGGCTAACTATCACATACAAAGCCTGGTCATCTTTGTCTTTCAGCCAGTCCTTGCCTGCTCCTGCTTTGGAGTTGTGTTGTTCATGACCTCTTCATTCTTTTCCTGCTCTCCCCTTGCCTTCTGTCAGTCTGCTTTATAACAGCGGTATTATGTAACATTTATCCTTTTGTGATTGAGATGTTTCACTCAGCTTAATGTCCTCCAGGTGCCCCCATGTTGTATAGTGTTTTATAAGTTCCCTATCTTTCAGTGATGCATAATATTCCGTTGTGTGAATGTTCCACAGTTTTTCTATCTCTTTGCTTGCTGATGGGCACATGTGCTGCTTCCATCTCTTCACTACTGTGAATCCTGCTGAAATAAACATGGGCATGCATACATCTGTTTGCATCACGGCTCTGGTTTCAAGGCTGTATCCTTAATAGTGAACAGCTGGGTCAAACGGTATTTTATTCCCAACTTTATGAGGAATTGTTGGACTGCCTTCCATAGTGGCTGTCCCATTTTACACTCCCACCAGCAATGAATTAGAGTTCCAATCTCTCCATAACCTTGCCAGCATTGGCTGGTTGCTGCTCTGAATGTTGCAATCATTGCTGGGGTAAGATGATATTTCATTGTTTTAATTTGCATCTCTCTAATAGCTAGGGATTTTGAACATTTCTCCATGTGTTTGTTTGCTGTCTGACTTTCTTCTTTGAGGAATTATCTATTCATATTCTGTGTCCATTTTGTGATCTGGTGTTGGTCTTGTCTTTGTTGATATATTGTGGTATTCTGTAAATTTTAGATATGAGTCCCTTTTCAGATAGGTCATTGCCAAATTGAGAACCCAGAAATCATCAACCCATCTACCTATGGTCTACCTAAGGTCAAATGATCTTTGACAAGGAGACAAAAAATCAATCAAGCGGGGAACTGAAAGTCTCTTTAACAAACGGTGCTGGCAAAATTGGACAACCATCTGCAGAAAACTGAAGACTTACACCTCACACCATACACAAAAATCAACTCAAGGTGGATCAGGAACCTAGGAGTAAAACCAAAGACTATAAAATTCATCAAAGAAAAACTAGGACAACTCTAGAAGTCCAATCTACAGTACAAACACAAACAGACTTCCAAGCATAAGGGAAGCCCCACAACCAGGAGAGGATAAAATAGATGAGTGGGACCCTTCAAAAATAAATAAATGAAAACCCTATGCACATCAAAGAACTTCAACAAGGTAAAAAACCAGCCAAGAAACTGGGAAAAAAAATATTTGGTAACATACATAATTTAAAAAAAATATCTCTAGTCAGTCAAGGGATTAGTTTTTTCAAAAATCAAGAGACGGCCCAAAAACAGAAACCGAGGGGATCCAGAGAAAAAAAGCTATGCAGCCTTCGACAGAGGCTGGAGGTCAGCCTGGCCAGCCCTGATGATCACACTCCTGATGGGCAAGCACAGTGACCGTGGAACTCCCTCTTAGCATGCCTGGTAGAAAGTGTTCCTCCCTGAGACCATCCGTGGGACAGTGTGAAGAACTGTGTGGCCGTTACAGACACAAGTGCCACTAGAACAGAACTGCACTGCCAGGTGGGGGCCTGGCTTAGGTCCACATGGTAGTCCCCAAGCCAGAGGGTTAAGAAAGCATCACCTCTCAAAACAACTATATTATCTCACCCCAGTAAGAAAAGGAAAATTTAATAAAACAGCAAACAACAAATGCTGGTGAGGTTGTGGAGAAACTGGAGTCTTTATTCACTGTTGGTGGGAATGTAAAATGGTGCAACCACTATGGAAGGCTATATGGCGCTTTCTCAAAAAGATGGAAATAGAAATACCATTTGACCCGCAATTCCACTACTGGGAATATACCCCAAAGAGACCATAACTGCACCCAAGCAGATTTATGCACACTCGTGTTTATTGCAGCTTTGTTCAAATAGCAAAGCACTGGAAACAATTCAAGTGTGCATCAACAAATGAATGGATAGAGCAGCTGTGGTATATTCACATAATGGAATACTATGCTGCATTGAAAATCAAGGAACTCATGAATTACTATACAAAATGGGTGACCCTGGAAGACATTATACTGAGTGAAATATCTGAGTCACAAAAAGGACAAATACTGCATAGTGCCACTGTTGTAAAGTGGGACTGACATTGTGGTTGGGGGGTAAACTAAAAAAAGAGGGGATAAATAATGTATTGAACAGATGAGAGAGAGAACTGTTTAAAAGGGATATATGATTAGGTATTATTGTCATGCAAAAGTCCAGAATGAAAGCTGTATAGTGGAGTGGACTTCGGGGGCAGGGATTGTATAACAATGAAAGAAATTTTTTTTTTTAGGAAGTGCCAACAAGGTGCTATATTTAGAAGTAAGAATGGTGAAACTTTATCTCATATACTTTGGGTAAGTTATAAGGAGTCAGTCAGTTTTTGGAAAAACACTGTATCAATCCATTCTTTTAAAAGAAATTTTTTTTTACTTTGCAAACAGAGAAGTGAACTGGGAGGACGGGTGGGCAGGGAGGAAAGTGTGCAACAATGAATGAATGGAAATCCAAAGTCTCTGTAAGCTTCCATTAAAATTAATATTTTTTTTTAAATTTTATTATTTTTGTCTGAGTGTACCGTCAAATCACATCTGACTGGTACAGGAGGAGATTGTCCCTCCTTTCCCGGCAGAGCATCTGGTGGATTCGAACCATGCGCCTCTGGGATTGTAGTTGCAGCTCCTTACCACTAGGCCACCAGCGCTCCCCTAAAATTAATAATTTAAAAAAAAAGTGCATCACCGCTGAGTGGTGCTGGCTACTGTCCACTCATACCGCCCAGCCCAGCCTACGACTGGGAGCTCCATCGCACACACCTCCTCCAGGGAGACCACAGAGTCATTGTGCAGGTTGGGCAGCCGGATAACCAGGTCTCTCCACTCAGCGCCTGCTGCTGCCTGAAGGGTGGCCGAGCTCTGGAGCATCTCCGTGCAGATGTCGTAGTTCTCGAGGGCCTGCTCCATGTCCCCCTGGTCAGAGAGCAGACAGGTCAGGGGGAGCAGAGGACAGAGCTGCCAGCACTGGGCAGGACTTACACTCCCAACCCTGGACTGTGGTCACCACAAGGGTGGGGGTCTATTGGGTCACTGAGAGCTGGGCTCAGTGCATGTGTGTTGAGTAAGCATACAGTGAGGGAATGAATGGCTCACAGATAGCTCTGCCCACAGGAGCCCGTCTCACAGTGCATGACCCTGAGGACACTGTACCCAGGTGTGGATCAGGAGCACAGAAGGCAGGTCCAGGACCAGCGGTCCAGAGCAGACGGCCTTCATATCAAGCAATGCCATACTGCTCAGACGGAACCAGTGAAAGGCCATGGCCATCTCTCATTCATGTGGCCTAGGGAAGCAGGCATCACCTGGAGTGATGGGGAACCAGCCAGCTCCCTAACCCCCTCCCAAACCCCCCGGCCTTTAGGCCCCGGTGCTAACGGCACCATGGACCACGTGGCAGAGTTTCTGGAACTCTCTCTCTACTGTCATTAGCGCTGCCTTTCAGGGTAACCACCTCGAGGCAGGACCTGTACAGACTGTGGCTGTGCTACGACACTTGAGGTGGCCTAAAACTCTATTAGAGACTTCTGAAATAAAATTCCTCCCCCACCTCCCATCGCCTCACACCCAGCCCAGTGCCCCAGAAGGTGTTGCACCCCCATCCTGTCCCCCAACTTCAGAATACTAGGCTCCATCATTCTCTGTTTGACACTTGGACACACTGATCGCAGGACCCACCTGCAGGGCCAGAAATCGAGCCTTCAGCCAGTACACACGAACCACAAATTCCAGCCAGCTGTCCTCAAAGAGGTCACGCTGGGATGAGGCAAATGACAGCTGCAGGAGGTCACCCAAGAAGTGGGTGCCTGGAAAGTCGGGCCCAAATCTGCCATTGATCACTCCAGTGGGGCCGTTCCGAGGAGACACTGCAAACAGTCAGCCAGGAGGTGGCAGCTTTGTGAGCAGGATCCTGAGTTCAATATGGCCTGCCCACCCGGCCCACTGGAGGCTCCTCAGCCTGCCCCTGCCCTGCCATTCAGGTCCTCCAAGTCCAAGGATAGACACTGGAAGGTGGACAGTCAGACAGAGTACACCTCCACCCTACTGCGGGGTGAGTGCACCGAGTTCCTTTATGTGGCTTCTGCCTTGGTTTATTTAAAGAGCACCTTGAGATTTTTCTTAAGTCCCGAACAGTGACCTTTGCCCTAAGTGTTGGAGAAGGAAGGTGGAGGGTGGAGACCCCAGGAGGATGATGGCACCCCCTCAGCCCACAGAATGGCTTACCTGCAGAGCTTCTACCTTTGGTCAGTAGCCACTGATCCAGCTGGAGTTCCATACAGGACAGAGACATTAGCATCATGTCCTGCAAAGTGGGAATAGGGAGGTCAGGAGCTATGGCCAGTGGGTGGGCAGAGACTAAATTCACTATCTGACAAATACATTCTTCCCCTCACCAACCTGCTATTTACTAAGACCTAAGCTGAGGTGTGAGGATTGGCAGTAGGACAGGACTGGGGTGTTGAGGCATGAGAGGGGAACCTGTCTTAGAGTCCCAGATATTGCCCCACACTGCAGGGCATAGTTCTGCCTACTGTAGAACCCACAAGAGCTCAGCTCAGGTAAGCATGCAGCCTAGCTTGTCTGGGGACCATGTGGCTCCTCTCACAGTTGCAAAACGTCCCAGAGACTGAGGTCTGGGGACAGAATGGTCAGAGGCATGACAGGGCGGGCCACAGGAAGTCAGGCAGGATTTGCAGCATCTGAGCCCGCAAGGCCCCATGGACTTGAAATTCCAAACCCAGCTGCTCCCTGGGCTTCATCCAAGACCACCACACCCTATGGACCCCTCCTCAGCCTCCTGTCAGAGGCGCCAAGTCCCTACAAGGCACCGAGCCTTGGAGAGGAGCTTCCCTCTGCTGCCTGCCACCCTACCCACTCCCCCAAGTCCCTCCACGCCACTCGAGCCCTGGAGTAGAGCTCCCCACTGCTGCCTGATGCCCTGTCCCCTCTAAGTCCCTCCACACCACTTGAAGAGAGAGGCTCCACAGGGGCACAGCTGTCCCTGCTGTCCGCCTGCCCTGTCTGACCTGGATGTGCCTGTTGCTGCAGTCCCTGAGCAGGGAGTTAGGCAGGCTGGTGCTGTGCCGCCTCCAGCTGTGGTAGATGCCGAGCACCACGTCTGTCAGCCCTGGGGGCCAGCGCAGCAGAAACTTGTGGCCCATGGCCTTCAGGTAGCGCATCATCAGCTCCAGAATGCCGCCGTTGGTCTGGTTCCCCAGTAGGAATTCGTGCACATCTTGTCTCTCTGCCAGGGAAGGTACATTGTGAATGGGGTACCCTGTGCCAGGATCCAACCGTGCGTGGTCCCCTTGCATCCTGCGTCCACCCTCTGTGCCAGGGTGTCCTCCTCGTGCCACAGTACCCTCCTTCCAGGTCTCCCCCTGTGGCGCGTCCCTCCATGTAAGGGAGACACCCCCTCCCGTGCAGGGGTGCTCCCTCATGCCAGGTACCCCCCTGTGCTGGGGTATCCTCCTGTGCCTAGTTCCCACACTCTACAGAAGGGGAAAGCAGCAGTGGGGTCGAGAAAGACCCTCTGGCACTGTCCAGGTCCAGTGGGCGGGGATTTACCCTGTGGTGAAGTCAAAACGCGACCCCAATACCATAGTAAAGTCACCCCCACCAGAGCGTTGGCTGTCGTCAAGTCACACCACCACCTCAAGGTTGTGAAGTCACTACCACCTCAATGCCATGGTGAAGTCACACCACCACCTCAATGCTATGGTGAAGTCACTCCGTCACCTCAACACTGTGGTGAAGTCAAACCACCATCTCAATGCCATGATGAAGTCACACCATCACCTCAACATTGTGGTAAGATCACCACCACCAATGCCATGGTGAAGTCACAATGACACCCAATGCTGTCAAATCATATCGCCACACTACATCAATGCTGTGGTGAAGTCACACTGCCACCTCAATGCCATGGTGACATCACACTGTAACCTTAACGCAATGGTAAAGTCACACCATCACCTCAACATCATGATAAAGTCACAATGTCACCACACCGCTGTGGCGAAGTCACACAGCCACAGTAATACTATAGTCAAGTCACACTGTCACCACATGGCCATGGTGAAGTCATACCTTCACCTCAACGCCATGGTGGGGTTACACTGCCACCAGAGAATGCCTGGCTGAGAAGCCAGCAGGAAGCACTGCTCCTGGAAGCTTCAGGGAGTGTGGACACCAACTCAGACCTTCTTATTTCCTTATGCTCACAGTGAGCTGCACACAGGACTCATGTGCAACCTATGGTCATTCAAACCTGGCCTGGCCATTCTTGGTCCTGTAGAGTTGACCACAGAGCTGTGGATCAAGCCTGCAGGGCCTAGCCTAGCACCATGAGCACACTTTAACAAATGTCTACGGTCATTCCTCAGGAAAGAACATGAAACTGAGGTGAGGAGACAGCAGAAGAAATCCAAGAGGGGGCACCTCTGGGCTCCTACCGGACTCCATGAATGTGGCTGAGTCAAAAGACAGCCTGAGCGGCCCTGTGCTCTGGCAGTGATCGGGCTTAGCGTCTGACTGGACTTCGTAGTTGCTGAAGGGGCCATCTTCTTCCTCAGCGTCCAGCTTCCTCAACCTGCAGAGGACATGGTAAGCCACAGTCATACTACGTGGTTGGAGAACAGCACCCAAGTACTTCCTACTCAAGAAATCCATGCACGTGAAAAAGACCTCAAGAGAGGCCTGCGAGGGCATCACTGCTCAGTCCAGCATGCCTGAGGTAGGCCCCAGTGTGCTGACCCTCAGGGAGGTCAATGGTAGCAGAAGAAAGAAGCCTTGCCAGAGCCTGGGTGAAGCATGGATGGACGGCCTACTTCACAAGGCCTAGGGCAGGCTAAGAGCCCACAGTTTGCAGGGTCCTGCCCAGCCATGGCTACGGCCTAGCCAGGGACAGCATGTCTGGTCAAAGGCAAGCAGCTGCCCTGGAGGTGGCTGTCATAGTACACAGCTCATCCTCGACTCTGTCCTCTTCACGTAGTGTGTCCACCATCTGGGGAGGGTGTCCTTGAGGTTCAAGGCTTTTGCCTCGCACACGGTTCTGGAATTGCTGTCTGTGCTGTGTCCTCTTCACTCCACAAATGTCCATTCCAGTGACAGGCAGTCACCAAGCACAGCCACCTTCTCAGTGCTGGCCGGGCCCTAGATAACAGTCCTCTGGGCCTCATGCCTATAGCTTTCCTGAGGGAAGCTCTGGGCTGGCCCGAGGGCTTGGAGAAACTGATCAGAAAGCAGGTCAGCCTCACTCTGGCTCTTTCCACTGACAGGGACCTGGAACAATGACTACTAAGCATTTCACCTTCACCACAGAGTGGAGGGCAATCCTCTGGGAGCTCCAGCTCCTGTGCTTGCATGCCTCATGGTACAGAACAATGTGATGAAGCCATAGCTCGGTCTCACAGTGAGAAAAGACCATGGGTGCACATGGCACACCCACAGCTGTGAGGAAATGAAAGGCACAAATGACAGACACAAAGGAAGGAAGGACAACTGCAGACTGTGTGTGCCAAGTCCAATGGAAATGGAACTGCTCCCTCTGCTCAGAGGGTGGGGTGGGGCAGAGAAATTCCATCCACTCAGACAGCAGGACACATGCTACCACCATGGCCCTGGATTTTCTGATGGAAAGAAGAGGATCAGGACAACACAGGAGGACTGGCTAGAAATCTCTGCCAGACCCTCCTCTTGAGGTGGCTGAGGATCATGGCAAACCTGCTACTGTCTCTTCCTCCTGCACCTTCTCCTAACAGCCCAGGATACTCTGATAGCAGACAACAGAGAGCAGCAGGACGGCCCTTTTACTGGGCCCCCCAGACCCCTTGCCTACCCGAGGGGTCTGTGCGCTCAGGAGCCTGGGCTCCAGGGTCACCCTGAGCATTGAAAAGGGCCCGGCCCAGTCCCCACCCTCAGGCAGCACAGAGGCAGAGCGAGCACAGACCTCCACGGGCTACCTGGTGGGGATGTTCCCAGCTCTGCACAGATGTGACGGGCAAACTGTACAGATGCCCTCAGAGGGCAGAGTGGTAATGAGAGGACAAGTGGAGACTTTTGGAGGGGCTTCCCAGTGGGAATGGCCCCATCTCTGCACATACGTGATGGGCAGGGAGGTAGTGAGAAGGTGAACAGAGACCTCCAAGGGCTGCCTAGTGGGGATGGCCCTTCTCTGCACAGATGCCTGCAGAGTTTAGAGAGGAGATAAGAGGACAAACGAAGACCTCCAAGGGCTGCCCAGTGGGGATGGTCCCTGCTGTGTGCAGATGACCTCAGGGTGCAGGGAAGGGTTGACCTCAGTGTGTGGGGAGGAGATGAGAAGGTAATTAGTGAGCTGGCAGATGGTTTGTTGAGCCCTTCTGCACCCCAGGGACAGGTGCACTTACCTGGATGGGAGGAACTTCACCAAGAGTTCCTGGAAGTCCACCTTCTCCTCCTTCTTGCACTTAGTGTTTCGGACGCGGGCTGAGCGGCGTTTCGCTGTCTCACCACTGTCCTCCACTACCTTCTTGCGCTTTACTCCTTTCTTGGACCTGTCTCCCCCAGAAGTATCACCTTCATAGAAGACAAAGGAACATTTTACCTGGGGGAGGGTGAGCAGGCAGGGGCCAAGATCCCTCATTTAGAATGCTACCATGGGCCTCACCTCAAGCTCCCTGAAATGAGCTGCAGAAGGCCCCTCACCTGGCGCTCCCTGTGAGCTTGAGGTCAGCTCCTGTAGAAGCCCCTTCACCTGGAACTCTCTGTGAGCTCCTCAAGGTCAGCTCCTGCAGAATCCTCCTCACCTGGAGCTCCCCATGAACTCCTTGAGCTCAGCTCCTGCAGACACCCCCTCACCTGGAGTCCCTGAGCTCAGCTCTTGCAGATGCCCCCTCCCCTGGAGCTCCCCATTCTCAGCTCCTGCAGACGCCCCCTCACCTGGGGCTCCCTGTGAGCTCGCGCAGACATCGTCTCATGCCTACACTCTGGGCACTGTGTAAGTGCCGGCTGAGCACAGGGAGTCAGTCTTACCCTGGCCTCCTGTGGCTGGCCTTGGGACCCCTGAGTATCCAGGGGCATAATGAGAGTTGGCAAACAGTCTTGACTAGAAAGATGGCAGAACTACTGTTGTAAAACAGGACTAACATAGGGGTTGGGGGAAGACTGAGAAAGACGGGATAAATAATGTATACTGCATTGAAACAGATGAGCAAGAAAACTGTTTAAAAGGGATATAGGATTAGGTATTATTGTCATGACAGGAGTCCAGAATGAAGGCTTCATAGTGAAGTGGACCTGGGGGGAGGAATTATAAAACAACAAAAGAATTTTTCTTTTACTTTTCATAGAGAAGAGTGTACGGGGAGGGGGGGAGGGGTGGGCAGGGGGAGAAAAGTGCAACAATGAATGAATGGAAATCCAAAATCTCTGTACATTTTCATTAAAATTAATAGTAAAAAAAAATGGAAGAAAAAAAAGAAGGATGGCAGAACTCTCAAGAGAGGGCTTCATAAGGACTTCCGACACAAAGCCTACAGCCTACACCTTCACTCAAAAACTTCCATCACCACCATCATGCCTCCATCCAGAAATAAGAAGTCACAAGACTAGCTCCAGGGCATCTGCCTCAAATGTTTTACAAATCCAGTGAGAACTCAAAACACTCTCAAACTGTATGAAAGAATACCCCCACACAAAGTAATGCTACTAGGGCTTTTAAAGACCAAAAGGACTCAGAAGGAAATTCTGGAGAAGCCTCGCTCCTTCCCTTGACAGGCACAAGGTGAGCACCTTTGGGTATATGGAAGGTCCTGGGTTTTACAAATCCAGTGAGAACTCAAAACACTCTCAAACTGTATGAAAGAATACCCCGACACAAAGTAATCCTACTAGGGCTTTTAAAGACCAAAAGGACTCAGAAGGAAATTCTGGAGAAGCCTCGCTCCTTCCCTTGACAGGCACAAGGTGAGCACCTTTGGGCATATGGAAGGTCCTGGGCATGGCATGTGCAGTGCTGGCAGTGCAGGGGCGGGGGTGTCACTCTCTGAGCCCCAACCTCCCATCCAGGTGCCTCACTGAGGTCTCTCAGGTGCAGCTGTCCTGAGAGGTGGTGGAGGGCCACTCTTTCCAGTCCTGACTGCCAGGCTGCACATAAGCTCTAACACTAATACCTAAGGACACTCACCTCCAGGCAGGCCAGGCTCTATCAGGCTAGGGCTATGGCGCGGGAAGCTTGCAGCAGGCACAGAGACGTAGGCAAGCACAGGCTCTGTCACCACTCCAGCTGGTGGAACACTGACAGGAGGCAGCTGGACCAAGCTGACAGGTGGGGCCTCCACACAGGAGGCCAGCTCCGGGCCGGGGTCCTGGTAGTCGGACAGGTCAATACTCTGACCAAGGCTGGGCCGAGGGGGCTCACAGGTAGTGAGGTGGTTGTACATGGCCAGCAGGCTCTCACCAAGGCACTTCCAGCTGCAGGGAGAGGCCAGTCTATTACTACCTGTGTGAGTGTGCCTCACCTTCATAGGCTGGCTCCACATCTGCCTGATGCCAGGGGGAGCTCGACATCACCATGTGACACTGGCTCAGGGCACAGTAGAAGGATGGTGTCCAGCTGAACATCAAAGCAAAACCCACAGGGCTAGACACTGTAGCCTCCCACCAAATGCTTGTCTTGGAAAGGGGAAAACTCTCATGATGCCATCTCCCAGGCTCCCTCAGGGCTGGGAGGGCAGTGGGACTCCAGAGATGGAACACTAGGCCTAGGACCTCTTGCTTCTCTGCCCACCACCCAATGCTTGGAAGATGGGGTCCCTCTGTCCAGGGCATGGTACTCTGGGAGAGTGGTCTTCCACAAGGCAGCATACACAATATGCAGACGCTGTACACCCCTAGCTGTCACCACCAGCCCAGGGGCAGGTCAGGAGGGACCTACGTGAAGAAGGGGATGGGCTGCACCAGCTTCAGGTCTGGCACCTTCTCCCTCACGGTCAGCGCCTGCCTCCTCTTCCGCAGCCCCAAGGCTTCGTTCACGATGGCCTGGGCTTCGGCTGCACTCACAGCTGCGTCGTGAACTGACATGTCACTAGAAGCAGGGGACACAGGAAGAATCACCATCCACATGCTCACCTGTCCCTCTAACCTATCCTGACCTTGCTACATAGAAGAGTTGTTAGAGCTGACCACCGAGGGCCTATCTGCACACCCCATGATGCTGCCCTCTCTTACCTACCTCTCAGAATGAGCAGAGAGAGAGAGGGTTTCCAGATGTGCCAACGGGATCCCAGCTAGACAGCCATGCTCTCAATTATTTCCAGAAAATTTAGAAAAAGTTCGACTCCCTCCCACTGTCCAGACAACAAGGTGGCACTGGACAAGTCAGCACACTTTTGCATCCCCAAAAGACAGGTGTCCTCAAAGACAACTCTGCGCATGGGAGCCGGGTCCCTATCCTCCTGCCCAACCCACCTGGATAGCCCAAAACACTCACTCATAGCTGCACCTTATGAGTCTGTCCCCAGCACTCCCTGGAAGGTTCTAGCCCTCGGGACAGATGTCAACAAGAGGCAAGGTCTCAGTGGTGACAAACACCAATTCATATAACCACAGAAGCACTAGGGGAGGAGGCCTCTTGGGCTGAGAAAACACCAGGATAGGAGAGGCTGGTTCTTCTTGGTCAACAGTCTTCTCCACTTTTCTAACTCTTGGTGGTCTCATTCACTAGCAAGGGGCAGGGTGTGGTAGGGCACTGCAGTCATCCAGACAGGAATGGGAAAGGGCAGTGGCAATGTTGGCAGAGAGGAGGCCAGCACCTCAGGTAAGGACCCGCCAGGCTGGGAAAACCCGAACAAAGGTGCTTTGGAGGATAGAGCAAGGCAGGTGTGGAGAGGGCCCAGAAAAGGGGGAAGGGGACAACCTGGGTTGTAGTAGGACCAGGAGGGTCAGGCTGTCTGGGCGCTGATGGGGAGGAGAGGACAGAGCCGGGGGTGTAGGGGAAGGACCAGGAGGGTCAGGCTGTCTGGGTGCTGATGGGGAGGAGAGGACAGAGCAGGGGGTATAGGGAAGGACCAGGAGGGTCAGGCTGTCTGGGCGCTGATGCAGACGAGAGGATGCAGCAGGGGTTGCGGAAGGACCTGAGGGGTCAAAGCTGTCAGGACGCTTATGGGGTGGAGTACAGGGGGTGTTGGGGAAGGATTAGGAGGATGAGGCTGTCAGGAAGCTGAGGAGGAGGGGAGGATGGAGTAATGGTGGAGGGGAACGACTGGGGGGGGAGGGGAGGATTAGAGAGGTCAGGCTGTCAGGGTGCTGAGGAGGGGAAGACAGAGCAGAGATGGATAAGGGCCAGGGAAGTCACACTGTCAAGATGCTGACGGTGAGGGGATAACAAAAGAGGAGTGGAAGCAAAAGACCACGGAGGTCAAGCTGTTGGGGAGGGGAGGGGAGGACAGAGCAGGGGTTGAGGGGAGGACCAGGTAGAATCAGGCTGCTAAGGGGAGGGGAGGACAGAGCATGGGGTGTAAGGGAAGGACCAGGGGGATTAGGCTGCCAGGGCGCTGAGGGAGGGGAGAAGAGGATGGAGCAGAAGTTAGGAGGAAAAATCAGATGGGTCAAACTATCAGGGTGTTGACAGGAAGAAGAGAACAGAACAGAGCAGAGGGTAAGGAAGGACCAAGAAGGTCAGGCTATTAAGAGTCCTGAGGAGGAAGGGAGGACAGAGCAGGCATGGAGGGGAAAGACCACGGGGGTCAGGCTATCAGGCCCTCAGAGCTATGCTCCTAAGTGCCCTGTTCTGAATGGGCTTTGTTGTGGGGCTGGTAGGGATGGATACAGCCAGTGCTATTTTAAGCAGTGAGCCAGGACGGCCCTAGGGTGGTGACCTGGAAAGGAGAGAGGGGCCATGGGCAGGAAGATGTGGCAGAGAACACAGATGTGGCTCGGGGTCACAGTAAAGGTGGCAGGAAGAAGGCAGGCAGCAAGGAGCCATTGAGAAGCAAACATGGGACCTGAGGCAGACATGAGATAAGGGGTGCAGCAGGAGGGGTTCGCGGCACAGATCCCACCCTTCAGCTGCACGAGGGTGGGGAGGCTGGGGTCACTCACCACCTGAGGAACATACGGAGCGAGTCCTTCCGAAGACACGGTTGCTCCTCAAAGATCTTCTCCTTGAGGACCAGCCCCTTGCTATAGCGGCAGTCCTTCTCCAGGGCTTTGCAGATGAAGTACAGGCAAGCTGGCAGGGAGAGATGGTGAGGTGACAAATCAGCTCTGCAGGGCAGCTCATCAGTGCCCACCCTGAAAGCCTGCCCTACCACTTCACACCAGGATGGATCTGCACACCAAGTGAGCTCACCTCACCAGTACAAACCAGGAGGGTTTGTACACTGGGAGGGCCCACCTTGCCAGTGCACACCATGGAGGTCTGCACACAAGGACAGCCTGCCTCATCAGTGCACACCAGGGGAGTCTGCACACCAGAAGGGCCTGCTTGCCAATGTACAACAGGAAGGTCTGCACATCAGGAGAGCCCACCTTGTCAGTGCATACTGGGAGGGCCTGCCTTGTCAGTGTACACCTGGAGGGTTTGCACACCGGGAGAGCACACCTCATCAGTGCACACCAGGAAGGTCTGCACACTGGGAAGGCTCAACTCACCAGTGCACAGCAGGAAGATTTGCACATTGGGAGAGCCTGCCTTGCCAGTGCACACCAGAAGGGTCTGCACACTGGGAAGGAGGGTCCACACACCAAGAGGAAGGGTCTACACAATGGCAGGGCCTACCTACTAGGAGGGCACCACCACACGTACATAAAATAGCAATGCAGCAAGTGGCTGCATCAAGGAACACACAGACTCTGAGTGCATGGAGGTTCAAATGGAGAGGACTGACTAAAGACAGGAAAAGGTGAGAGACACGGAGGACTCTGTGCTTCACCACAAGCTGCAGACGTGGTGCCCAGTTCCACAAGTCCACCTAGAAAAATGGCAAAAGTTGCCTATATGGCTCTCAGTGACAGATGGCTAAGTGGGAAAGGGATTTAAAAAAATCTAGCAACCACACTGGTACCCAATACAGGGTTCAAGAAGCAAATCCACAGACTACAAGTCTGCTTCTCAGGAACCGTAGCCTGGGAGGGGCCAGTGGGTGGTTCTGTGAACGCATACAAAACTGTGTTCTCATCTTTGGGCTTGCCTATTTTCTAACTCCCCTAATTTGTACTTGTGTATTTTTAAAACATCCTGACAGAAGAGTCGCTGTGTTAAGTTTCACACATGCCTATCAACTATGTCAATACAATGAGGAGCTTCCTAACATCAATGCCTGGGAAGCTGTGACACTTCACCCCGCGAATAGTTGACACAGAGACACACAGTGCATTGCAGACCTCACTGCTCCTGGAGGAGCAGACATGGGGACTGGCACAGCAGTGCACTGTGGCCCTCACTGTATCAAGGAGCAGGCTGGAGCACTCCTGAGTCAACTGTGACATAAAGGACAACACAGGACCACAACGGTGTCCTGATTTGCTGAGTATAAAGATAAAGGCTCTCCTGCATCTGTGCATCTATTCAGACACCAAGCCTATTCTTCTCACATGACCTACCTTTCCAAGCACAACTCTGGCACCAGAGACAGGTGCAAAGAACCCGCCTGGTTGCCAGGGAAGGAAGAATGCACAGCTTCCACCTGCCTGAAGGGGGCACTCAAAACACAGGAAGAGTGTCCAGAAAGAACTGGCCCTGGTCCAGATGCATTCTGTTTGAGCTACTGTATGGGTGGGAATGAGCACAAGGCACCTAGAGGACCTGTTTAACTTGGAACAGAAGTGCTCTCCAGCCAAGAGACAGACTAGTCTACGAAAAAAGAACTAAACCCTTTGAGGAACATGCTCCTCACACGAGACCAAAGAAGGGGCTCAGCATAAGGAACTCACTGACAATGCAAAGGCATGTAGTTCAAATCTACCAGCTGGTCCACAGAAAAAGGATGGGCAATCTCCTCCTGTGTGATTTACTGCCTCTGAAATCCCACTGGAGGGTCAGTTATGGCTCAGTCCTTACTCAATGGTACATAACAATAACGCAAGACTAAAAGGGAAACATTAATCCCCCAAACGCAGACACAGAAAGGACACCAGGAGAGCTGGACTCACTTGTGTAATCACTGAGGGCATACAGGATGGTGATGAGGTTGTCCAGGCAAGGCCAGTGGTCTGGGTTGCACCGAAGTCCCTCCTCAAAAGCGTGGCGGGCGAGGGGGACACGGATGAGCCTCAGGGCCACATGTCCAATCTTGTACCACAGGTTGACGTCAGTAGAGTCCAGCATCACTGCCTGTGAGAGCATGGAGCTAGGAGGCCCAGCCAGTCGGCACCCAGACGAATAGCCCAGGAGTGTCCACACCACTGCATCTCCCCAGAATGCAACAAGCTCCCAGAATACAGAAAACGACACCTGGAAAGTTCTGTAGGCATACACATCTCATGCCAGGAATTTTCTCAATATATTTTGTCAATGTGAACATTTGTATTCCTTTCACAATTGGTGAGGAAAAAAAAAATGGAGATGTGATAAAAATGAAAACAAATATAGTAGAAGTCATGTGAGACCATAGAAAACGGTACAACTGATAGAAAGGTCTCATTCATAGCCTTGCTTGGCCTTATCTTGGCAGCATCCTCCTGACCCCCAAAATGAGAAGGCCAACTTTCTGAACGCCATGTGAGAATCAGACCACACGTGGAAAGCCCTGGTGGGAGGCAGGGTGCCCACAGAGACAGTGCCGCTAACAGTCGTAACCACAGTAGCGCTCCCATGGCTAGACTGTGCACTAAGCCCAACATCACGACATTCTGGGTAATTTATGTAGCTGTCACTCCCTGTGTACCACCCCCTATCCTGGTGTAGCCTTGGATGTACAGAGAGGAAACATCCAGCTCCAGTCATGAGTCCACCAATGAAGGATTCACAGCAGGCCTTGGTAAATGGGTGGAAAGGCCACACTGCAGTCCAGCCAGAGCCTTGGTAGTGCTGCCTGCTGACATACCATCTGGCCCACTGGACCACCCTTAGCCCCCAGAGCTCTCAACAGCAATGCCAGCCGCACCTCCAAGTAGAACTGCATGGCGGTCTCCAGGTCCTCCCGTTGTGCTGCCAGCTGGGCCAGGTTCTTATACGTGGAGTACTTCAGGATCAGCCCTGGATGCTTCAGGCCCTCCTTTTCATCACCTGATGAGACTGCCTGGGAATAAAAGCAACAGAGAAGTGCCACCAAGATCAGCAGCACACCTGGCTTTGGGCTGCAACTGTTATCTCCACTAGAGGGGAAGGCACTGCCCTAGAACTTTGGAGACACCCTGGGTTCTGGATGGTGTCCAATCATCTATTCGACCACGTTCAAAAGTCCACATGATGTTGACTGCTTGGGTTCAGGAGTGATCACTCTAACAGCATCTGGCAAAATGCCCCCAGAGGACTGCTGGACATCAGGAAACATTGGGCTCCATCCCAGCACTCATGTTCACTGCTGTTGATAAGTGCCATCAAGTTGGAGCAGACTCATAGCTAACTCTCCTGCGGGTTTTCAGAGGCAGTAAACTGCACAGGAGGGAACTGCCTGTCCTGAGGAGCAACTGGTGGATTCCAACTACACAAGATTGCAGTGCACCTTCTTACTATGAGGCCACTAGCACTCCCTGCTCATTAGCTGGGTGATTTTGAGTCATCAGTGCATCAGTGACCACATCTGTGCATGATGATACTTTCCACCTACCTAGCTGAGTGACGGTGAGGGCTCAGTAATGTGACAGCTGGCCCCTATTGAGTGCAGTGGTGTGTGTTCTGCTCACTCACATGGATTCACGTTTGAGAACATGCACAACTACCCAGTGAGGCAGACGCACTACTACAACAGAGGAAACTGAGAACTGGGGTAAAATCTCATGTTCAGGGTCATGCAGGCCAGCAAGTACTGCCTGTCTCTCCTCACACGGCAACCAGCACCTCACCTCCCGCAGCAGACGGGCCTCCAAAAGTTCATGGTAGGCTTTGGCCGACTCCTCAAACCGGTCATGTTTCTGCAGGTCCAGGGCCTTGTGGTACAAGGCAAAGGCTTCTGCTTCCTGGAAGTCAAGACAGGAAACATATTCACTTGGTACAAAAGCTTGTAATTTCTAAGCCAAATGTGTTGTCGGGGGAGTGGTAGCTACACGATGAGAAATGCAGGGACGCAGACACAGATCACTGCTGGGCAAGAACCTGCCGGCACATTGTGAGAACAGGGAGGAAGAGACCCAGAGAGAGCATGTAGGACCCTTCTGTGCTTTCTACCCATCTTTCCTTACAGGCTGGGTCACTGCCCATGGAGGGCAAGCCCTAGATGAGAGAAGAGCCAATGGGCAGGCCAGGCCTTACTGACATGCTTGTAGACCAGGGTAGATGACCAGACTTCTGCAAGGGCTTTGGAAGTGATCTTAACTCTCCAACAGAGAGTCAGAACAGACAGGTGACCTTCTAATGGGTTTCGAGAGGCTCTGTGTCACATGGGAGTTGACTGCATAATTCACAAGGGGAAGCATCCCCACAGCATCAGCATCCCAGTACCTATGAAGTGAAACATGTTCCACTACCAACCCTCCCCCAGGCAGTCACCACTTCTCTACTGGGCCATGCAGAACACATATGGAATTTGAATGGGACTAAGAGGTTCCAGTCCAGATCTCGGAGCACAGAGGATACAGCTGAGTCAGATGTGCTCTGAGTAGCCCATTCTGATCTCCACCGGGACCCTGTCCCACACGGACAAGCCCTCTGGGCTCTGCATATGTGTCACTCCCACTCTGCCAGTAAGGCCAAGCCCAGAAGGACTCTACTTCTTGGCAGATGCACAAAGGCAGCCACTCTGCCAGCACACACTCAACTTCTTCACTCTGTGGCCAGGAGCCTGCAGCTCTGTCACTGGTTCCTCAGTTTCTGCCACCTCATTTCAAGCTCACATTCCCTTGCAATACCATCACCTCCAACATCACAGTTCTTGATCTTGGCTCACACACTGCACTCTCTGGCTCTTCTTTCTTGATGGTAGCAAGACTCCCACGTCCCACCTTTGCTACGGCTCACTTAGGCCTGGTGAGATGGCCAACCTGACCAATTCCCTACACTAGCGGTCCACACATCTTGTCTGCTCAGTCCTACTCAAAAGATGCCATTTACCCTATTTACATTGTTAAAGCTATCCAATCCCTTTTGTGGGCCACAAACACTAGAGGTGATTAAACTGACAACAACAGGAAAGCACAGATGAGAACCTAATCAGGCAGTGAGTCTGTATTAATGATGGGGTAAGAGTTCAGAAAGTTGTTGAAGAAGGTAGTAGAGCACTTGAAATATGTACTCAATGTTAATGAATTACATGTGCAAAGTGCTGCCATGGTGTATGTCCAGCTGTGGACTTTTTAACCCAAAATAAAAAAGGATCTGAGTATAAATCCACCTGCAGAGATCAGAACCAAGGTCTGCTGGCACATGGAGACTGGGGATCTTCCTTTCCAGCCTGGTTCCAGTGCTGCGGCCCACGCAAAGGATAGTGAGAAGAAGGGCCGTTCTGTCATCAACAAAATGGTGACAAGAGAGTATACCATCAACATTCACAAGCACATCCACTGAATGGGATTTAAGAAGTGTGCCCGTTGGGCACTCAAGGAGATCCAGAAATCTGCCATGAAGGAGATGGGAACACCAGATATTCACATTAACATCACTCTTAACAAAACCGTCTGGGCCAAAGGAACAAGAAATGTCCCATACCGCATCCATATACAATTGTCCAGAAAATGGAATGAGGATAAAGATTCTCCAAACAAGCTGTATACACTGGTTACCTATGTACCTGCCACCACTTTTAAAAATCTACAGAATGAAAACTAATAGGTGATTATCAAATAAAGTTATAAAACTATGGGAACTATAAATTACATGGGATCAGAACAGAGGTCTGCTGGCACCTGGAGACTATAGATTACATGGGATGAGGACAAAGGTCAGTCAGCACATGGAGACTGTGGACTACACGGGATCAGAAGTGAAGTCTGCAAGCACATGGAGACTGTGGGTTACATGGATAGAACTGAGGTCAGTCAGCACACGGAGACTGTGGGTTACACACCTGGGCTTCCTTTGTTTGGATTTTATGACTTTTGAAGTTTCCATCATGATCATCCTCAACTGTGGAGCTGGCATTTAAGGCTGCAATTCGAATCTATAGAGATACAGGTTTAGAAAAAAGTACTGCTTTTAGTTGAGATGTCACCATCCCTTCCATAATCCACAGATGAACACAGCTCTCCTTCAGCACACAGGAGAGTCTCTCAATCTGGGAAATGGGCCAACGACAACCAAGAGAAAGGCTGAGCCAGCCACTATTTTGGTGGCTATGCCAATCAACCTGTGAGCACACCCTGAGCACTGTCCACCACAAAGGAGCAGGGATGGGGACAGTCCAGCAAGGGCCTGATACTGTGCTTTTGCTTTCTCAGCACTTGTGGCAAGGACTTGCAAAGACACCAGTGAAAGAACAGGCACCTACTCCCTCTTTCACTGTTCTCCCAGGAAAGGCTGCTCATAGAATCAGGGTTCACATGTCTGGAAAACATCCCTTCCTCAAGAATGAAGTCATTCTGGCAAGCCCATGTCCTCACCATGTTCAGGGAGCTCGCACTGTTACTTCACGTCACTTCTCGTCACTGGCAGAAGAGGCACTTGGCCACAGTATTCTAGAAAGGAAACAGGACAAACTGAGAAAGGGGACCTCAAAGAGCTAGGAAATTCACCCCATCTAAAGGCCTCCCAGGATCCTCAGCCACACTGCTGGGACACCACATGTGTGGGGCTCTCACATAGGGGTCCTGTGCCCAGTCACCTGCCCTCCCAGGGACTGCCTGAGGACAAGACTATAGCTTTCTTTTTTTTTTCTCTATAATTATATTTTATTAATTTTCATAAACATTTACAGAGATTTTGGGTTTCCATTCATTCATTGTTGCATTATTCTCTCTACCCTCCTCCCAGTTTGTTCTTGTCCAAATGCCACAGTGCTTGTCAAAGCCAGTTCTGATTAATCTTCTTTGTCAGTGTGTCCCTTGCCATTCCCTATCACTCCTCCCTGAGAGAGACTTCACCCTGAGTCATAAGGAAAAGGGGATGGCGTATTCTCTTAGCTACTTCCTGCTGAAAAGGGACGCTGGGGGTTTCAGGGTGAAGATCTTCTCTCACTACTCTAAAGGGCCCCGTTGGCAGTAGGAAACACATAGACTATTATGGAGATTGATTTTGGAATTTAGATGCACTCTTATTGATTGTGCTTGGCCGTACATGTTCATATCCTTGAAGATGTATCATGGGGGTGTTGCAACCTAGAAGACACAAATTTGACTAACAAGTTATAAGTACATAAGTCAAAAATTATGGAAAAGTAAAAGAAAAGATTCTTTCATTGTTTTACAAACCCTCCCCAAGGTCCCCTCCACCATGTAGCCCTCGCTCTAGACTCCTGTGATGACAGAAATACCTAGTTATATATCTCTTTTAAACAGTTTTCTCCCTCCTCTGTTTCAGTGCAGTATACATTATTGAACCCATCTTACTCAGTCTCTCCCCAACCCCAAGGACAGTCCCATTCTACAACAGTGGCATCATGTAATATTTGTCCTTTTGTGACTGGGATACTCCACTCAGCATAATGTTCTCCAGAGTCAACCATTTTGAATAATACTGCATGAGTTTCTTGTTTTTTAATGCAGCATAGTATTCCATTGTGCGAATATACCACAGCTTCTCTAGCCATTCGTTTGTTGATGGGCACTTAGGTTGTTTCCAACTCCTTGCTATTGTGAACAAAGCTGCAATAAACATGGGTGTGCATATATCTGCTTGGATGTCAGCTATGGTCTCTTCAGGGTATATTCCCAGTAGTGGAATTGCTAGGTCAAATAGTATCTCTATTTGCAACTTTTTGAGGAAGCGCCATACTGCTTTCCACAGGGGTTGCACCATTTTACACTCCCACCAACAGTGAATCAGGGTTCCAGTTTCTCCACAACCTCGCCAGCATTTGTTGCTTGCTGTTCTGTCAAATTTTGCTATTTTGACTGGGGTGAGATGATATCTCATAGTTGTTTTAATTTGCATCTCTCTTAGGGCTAGGGATTTTGAGCATTTCTTCATGTGCTTGTTAGCCATCTGAATGTCGTCTTCGGTGAAGTGCCTAAGACTATAGCTTTCAATATGGACTACATCTCAACATCAAGAAAACAAAAATCCTTATCAGTAGGCCAAAAGATAACATCAATGATAGATGGAAAAAATGACTGGAGTTGTCAACGATTTCATCTTGCTTGGATCCAAATCAATATCCTTGGTATTAGCATTCAGGAAATCAGGAGATGTACAGCACTGGCAAAGTCTCCAGTGAGGAATCTTTCCGAAGTCCTGAAGAGTGATGATTTCAGTTTAAACACTAAGATGTATCTGATTTAAGCCAGTCTTTCCATCACATCCTTGCATCTGAGAGCTAGACAATAAATAAGGATGACAGAAGAATCAATCAATGTACTTGAGTTGTGCTGCTGGAGAAGAGCCAAGAGAACAGACATGTCTTGGAGAAAGTGTAGCAAGAGTGCTCCTTGGAGACAAGGATGATGACGCTTTGTCTCCCATACTTTGGGCATGTTGTTATGAGGCTATTCCTTAGAGAGAAACATCACGTTTGGAAAGGTGAAGCAGCAGTGAAGACAGGAATGCCACTAAGAGTGTTGACTGTGGATCCAAGCAAAATGAAGAGGTTGAGAACTTCAATCTTTTCTGTAGCTATCATGTATGTTGCCTACTGGCTCAGTGGGGAAGATTTTTTTTTTTTAATGTCGGGATGTAATCCATATTGAAGGCTGGCGTAATTCTCACATTACTTTCTGTAGATGCTAGAATAGGCAGATGGACAGTATAGGTGCAGAGATAGAGAAACAGAAAGTTTCTGGAGGGGTCCTTGGGAAAAAATATCATGTTGGGAAAGGTAGAGGGTCAGCAAAAGAGAGGAAGACCCTCAAAGAGGTGGACTGACACAATGATTGCAACAACGGGCTTTAGCACGGTGTAGTCTGAGAGAATGGCACATGGTTTGGAAAGGTTTCAATTTGTTGTTCAAAGGGTTCCTAACTCATAGTTAACTGGATGACACCTAACAACAACACAGTAACTGTAGATAAGAAACTATAAATAAGAGGGAATGACAAAAGAATCCTCTTGTGTTGGGTTGAAAAAAAGGCATTAGCATAAGCTTCCCCTTTTAACATGTACATAGATAAAGACATCTATGTACGAGTTAATATGTGCCTAGCTAACTGCTGAAAGGACCTAGAAAGTAATATCCTATAAAGGAGCTCGGATAACCTATTCCATAGAGTTGTTGTTCTTCTTGTTGTTGTTAGGTGCCATCAAGTATAACTCATAGCAATCCTATGAGCAACAAATCCAATCCTGTGCCATTCTCATCATCTCTACACACGAGTCCACTGTTGCAGTCAGTGTCAAGCCATTTGGTTGAGGATCTTCCTCTCCCCTTCACTGACCCTCTGCCTTTTCAAGCACCATGTCCATTAGGAACAGTCAGTCCTTCTTAGCAATGTGCCCCAAAGTATGTGAGGCAAAGCTTTATTATCTTTACCTCCAAAGAGTACTGTGGCTGCACTTTCTCCAAGACATGTTTGTTTGTTCTTTTGGCAGTCCATGGAATGTTCAGTGCTCTTCTCCAACACAACAGCTAAAAGGTGTCAATTCTTCTGTCATCCTTATTTATTGTCCAGCTCTCAGATGCACAGGAAGTGATCAGAAAGACCATGGCCTAAATCAGACTCACCTTAGTTCTCAAACTGACACCATCACTCCTCAATGATTTGCAGAGGTCCCTAAATGCAGACTTTCACAATATAATACATCTCCTGATTTTCTTTCTTTTTTTAAAATTAATTTAAATGAAAGTTTATGGAGACTTTGGATTTCCATTCATTCATTGTTGTACTTTTCTTCCTGCCCAACCTCCCCACCCCCCACCCCAGTTTGCTCTTCTCTTTGAAAAGTAAAAGAAAAATTCTTTCATTGTTATACAATTCCTCCCCCTAAGTCCACTCCACTATGCAGCCTTCATTCTGGACTCCCGTCCTGACAATAATACCTAATCATATATCCCTTTTAAAGTTCTCTCCCTCATCTGTTGCAATGCAGTATACATAATTTATCCCATCTTTCTCAGTCTCCCCTCACCCCAATGTCAGTTTATTTTACAATAGTAGCACTATGCAGTATTTGTCCTTTTGGGACTGAGATATTTCACACATAATGTCCTCCAGGGTCATCCATTTTGCATAATATTTCATGAGTTCCTTGTTTTTCAACACAGCATAGTATTCCATTTTGTGAATATGCCATAGTTTCTCTATCCATTAGTTTGTTGATGGGCACTTACATTGTTTCCAACTCTTTCCTATTGTGAACAAAGCTAGATAAACATGGGTGTGCATATCTGCTTGGGTGGCAGTTATGGCTTCTTCAGCGTATATTCTCAGTTGTGGAACTGCTGGGTCAAATGGTATTTCTATTTGCAACTTTTTGAGAAAGTGCTATACTGCCTTCCATAGTGGTTGCACCATTTTACACTCCCACCAACAGTGAATAAGGGTTCCCGTTTCTCCGCAATCTTGCCAGCATTTGTTGTTTGCTGTTGTGTTAAATTTTGCTATTCTTACTGGGGTGAGATGGTATCTCATAGTTTTTTTGATCTCCTGATTTTCTAACCACTGGTACCAAAGGTGTTGATTGTAGACCCAAGTAAGTTGAAGTCATTTGACAGCATCAATCTTTTCTTCCTCTATCATGCTGCTGCCTATTGACTGGTCCAGCAGTAAAAATTTCTGTCTTCTTGATGTTGACAGGCAATTCATACTGAAGGCTGTATTCTTTGGTCTTCTGTAACAAGTGCTTCAAGTCCTCCTCACAGCAAGCAAGGTTGTGTCATGTGCATAACACAAGTTATTGATGAGTCTTCCTCTGATCTTGATGACACATTCTTCCTCATCGAGTCCAGTTCCTTAAATAATTTGTTCAGCATTCAGAATGAATAGGTATGGAGAGAGAATACAACCCTGGCACACTCCCTTCCCAATTCCCAACCATGTGGTGCTCCCCTCCTCCATTCATACAACAGCCTCC